CCCCAAAACCCCAAAACCCCATTAGTGTAAATATTGCATATAGATAAAATTATGAAATTAATGATAAAATATTACTTCATCATTGTTATTTTATTGTAAATAGTGAACTTCTTTTCTCATTCAACTATTGTATTTATTTTCTCTTCCTCTTAATTTTGTTTTGCTTTGGGAACCCATTTCTTCTAAGATGAATCACCATTGTTACTCTTTTTCTTTTCGTAGTTGCTGCCTTAATCACTTTTAATCTTTTATTCCTCTTTATTATTCTTAGGAACATAAGAAACTTTCCTGTGAGATGATGATGACTCTTCTTATGTTTTGCTCTACTCGCTACTTTCAAAATCTGAGTGATAATCCTTTTACTTTGATTTTTGAACTTTAATTTGAGAATAGGATTAAGTCTCAGCAGACTTAGTATATCCAAGGGAATTCGAGTTTGAGTTATGTAACTCTAACTTCTATTCTTTCTTTTATACTTTGATTAAAGTATTCAATTCTGACTCAGTCATTGGCATTTCTTAGAATGATAGAATAATATTCTTGTCTTTCTTCAAAATTGATTTGAACTTATGAGTAAGATTAAGCAAGTAATTGGGATTAAGCTAACAGCCTTTGTATTTTTGGCATTATCCATTCAAGTCTGTTCCACCAAGGAATTAGTCATCAAACATAACCAGAACCTCATCCCTAGTTTTGCCTACTACTGTTCCTCTGAAGCCAAATGGTACATATTCTCTTTTAGAAGAATTTAGATTCATAACTCTATCCCCTACATTAAAGTCATCTGCTACTTTATCAGAAAACGGCAGACCCCAGTAAGGAAAGGACTCTGCAAATATTCCTGATACTAAGAAATACTCGTATTTCTTGACTTTAAGCTAAATGCTTAACTTATTTTCTTTAATATGATCTTAATAATTCTAAATCTTATGTAGTAAGTCTTACTGCAATGATTCAAATCCCAGACTAACATAAGGTAGTTTAGAAATAGACAGAGATGAAATCCAATCTGCAATAGATCTTATTCTTTGGTATGCATTTGGTAAGCTTTACTTAGTAAAGAGCTCATTTAGAGATAGAATGTGAATGTCTTGTTTAATGCATTTATGCACTTGGTCAAATACCTCAGGGTACTTCTCTTTGTATTCTATCAAAATCTTTAAACATTCCTCAGAGTACTCCCACTGTCTTCTTCTCTCTGAATTACCAAATGAATGTTGGCTGTCATCTCTCATCTCAAATTTTCTTTTATAAAACTCTTCATCATCTAGAACCACATGTCTCACATAATGAGGAATATGAACCTTTTTCAGATAGTTTTTAATATTCAATCCAAGTTCAATTACAAATCTCTGATTTGTTACTGGTTCCTCATATACAACTAAGAATGAACTGGTAATTCTGTTCAGCACACCAGCCTTTAGCTAGAGTTTCTCTTCTACTGCTCTTTCCCTATAGAACTTTATAATTTAATCTTTTCTGATGAAGTTCTCATTCTAAACGCAAGTTTTACCAAGAAATGGATCATGAATCTTAGATTGTTCAGCTTCTTTATCAAATTCCACTTTGACTGCATTTCTTTTATAATCAACTGAAGAGATTTTCCCCATCAATCCGTATACTGGAGCATTTAAACAGACAATTTCAGATCCAACTTTTAGACTTTTCAAGTATTAATCACATCTTTAGTTGACATTTAAGTAATGATCATTGTGTCTATTATTCATAATCATGCAAAGTGGTAAAGTTTCTGTGAGTTCATTGTAATACTTGTGATACTTTTTTAATTTCTTATCATATCTAACTGATTAAATTCTAGCGAATGTAACAAAAGCAATTGGATTTACCAGCTATATACCTTATTCCTTTAGTTTATACTCAGCTCTTTCAATCATCTTTCCGTATCTTCCACCATCAAGTCTTTAGTCTGATATATGGAGTCTCAAGGTTTCCTTTTTCTAGTATTAATCATCGTATATTGAGTAGACTTTATAGTCATCTTCAAATTTATGAGGTAGTCCTTCTATTTAGAAAGGGAAACCAATATAGAAACCTTCTTTCTACCTCTATAAGAAACTTTTAGCATACCTTTCTAGATCTTCAGGCTCTATTTCATGTTAGCTTGGCTGTATATTTAGCATGAGTCTTTTAAACCCGACTTATTAGATATAGACTTTATCAAATGATATTGACTTTACTTCTAACCATGTCAAGCTAGGAAAATCTTTCTAAGGTGAAATTACTCCATTTAACAATCTAGGCTAGAATGAGGCTTGACCAACATTGGCATATTCATGGATTATTTCCTCATCAAAGCATTTTCTTATAGATCTCATATCCTTTAATGAACTTTCTAAGATTGTTATTTCAGATTTCTTAGCCACCAAATCATTATAGCTGTAAGCTAAGAAATCAAATTTAACTACATTGCGATGATTTTCAGCTTAATCCAATTATCTACTCTAAAACAGAATGCATTCACTGTCAAGGAATATTTTTTCATCAACAAATGGAATTAAACAAACTGCTTCCCATGGTAAAGATCTTCCATTCAAATCTAATTCAAAGTCATCTGGAAAGTATTTCCTTAATTCTCCAAGTATTATTTAAGAGTAAGGTTATGGAAGCAATTTTGCGCTTCGTGCAGGTAGAATAGATAGCAATTGCTAAAAAGGTGTGTATGGCTAGTTGACTTATGAGCAATTCTCATCTATTTCAAAAAGTGATATTGTTCTCTAGCCATCCAAATAGTTATGGACAATATTTTCTCCAATATCTGATATCATTGGGGCGTAATGATAGGGATAATACCATCTCCAATGTTAAGCTCCTCTATAGTAATAGAATAAGACCCATTACAGCCCTTCGAGATACTTTTTAAGCATTCTCTTTTTCTATTATTGTCCCTCAACAGTCTGAATATCAATTTTAACTTTTGATTGATAGAACATTGCTTTAGCCGATTAAGGATCAATAGCATATAGCTTCACAAACTTTTTCATAAACTCGACATTCATTGATAGATATTTCTCAATGAGATCTTATTATGGTCCTTAATTTTCAGTCATTACTATTTTCTGTTTCAAAATTCTGTCATCAATAGATTTGACATCAATTTCTTTCTCATCAACATCACTTATCTCTCCATCATCGATGTCATCAACATTTAAGTCAGATAAGTGAGTCTCATCTATTTCTTTAATTAAGATTTTTATTGACTCTGACACCTCTATCTCCTAACCTTTAAATTCATCTGAACCATTATTTTTCTGTCTTCTTAAAATCTCTTAATATTTAATCTTTAGCAAATGATATTTTTCATCATCAATCTGCTCTTCTGTATATTTCTTGATCAGCTACATCTTCTTATAACTTTTATCCTTTGATTTTTCTGCCAGTGTTTTAATTTTCTTAATTTTCTTTTCAGTTATTCTATCTTTGATGAGTCGAGTTATTTCCTCCTGTCTATCTATAAGCACATCATTTTCGTTAATTCTAACGACAGTCCTTGTAGTTTTTTTCTCCTAACCTTTAGGCTACCTCATTTATGATATTCTGCTACTGAAAGTTTAATGTTCATGAGATCCAAGCATTTGAATAAATGGCTCAGCTTTATCCCAGTGAATGCTTCCTGTTTCAGTGATATAGCTGTCCATCTTAGGCAAAAGTTTTCTATATAAACTAATCAAGCCGTCAAGTGAACCCTCGGCAATATCAAGAGCACTCAATGAGGGTAAAAAGTCATTTCCTATGAAAAAGCAGAAAAATACGAAATCATCAATAATTCTTTCAAGATCAAATGGCGTCTTCATTTTTTCCTTTAGATCCTGATACTCTAGCTGGAAGTATTCTCTCAGGATATTTATGTAAATGACTTAATAGTTGACCTATTTCTTTTAATCAACTCTTTGAACTCCTCCCTGTTTATTCTTTTTTATTATATGCTCTTCTCTAATAATGATAAAGTGGGGTTCATGAGTGACTAGGGAAAGCATGATCAAATCAGCATCTGCTCCATAAAAACAATGCCTAGTATTTGGATCATAGTCAGGCTTAGACTTAGCTTATCTGATAAAATCCATCATTTTATGCTCTCCTTCTCCAGGCACAGTACCATCTGATACAAATATTTTTGTGAGCTAACCAAATATTAATAAACGACATGCTTTAGCTTACCTTTTGATATAGGGGGTCAGTGGCTAGTTTATACTATATAAAGAAGTGCAATTACTTGCACAAATCATGCATGAATTAAGTTCCAGGTGAAATTGCATTAGTATCAAAGAGATCGGGAGCATCTTTCCCTTCTTCTTTAAGCTTATTTTTAAGCTCTTGAGCATCTTTTGCGCTCCTGAATCTTCTTGCTCTCTGCTGATTCATTTTAGCTCTTGGTGCTACTCCATCTACTGCAAGAAGTAATATTTTTTATGGCTTGATTGTATGCACTATCTCATCAATAGCATTCATTATTGCTACCCACACTTCATCGAAGTCTTCTAGCTTACTAACCTTTTCATGCCTCGATGCATCGTTACCGTGAATTGAATTATGAACTATTCCATTTAGATCAAGGTAAAGGTTATCTATTTAAAAATAAATTCAAACTTATTTTATATACCGATGGGTGGGACGTCTTCCTCTTTCTATACATTTTAGAGTATAAGTGGATAGCGCCTTGTAAGCCATCTGAAAAATTTAGGTATTCCCATTTTAATTCAAAAAATTTGTTGTTTGAGTAGTTATAGATAGTATAAATATCTTTATTAGATTACTCTGTGAATTTCGCTATAAATTTCAATTCTGACGAATGATTTACCCTATCGGGGTTTTGGGGTTTTGGGGTTTTGGGGTTTTGGGGTTTTGGG